TTCTTTACACCCTTCAAACATCAATACTGAAGAGAAGGAAAAAGAAGAAGAAAATTGCCACCTTTTCCTTTTCTGGGCAACTTGATTTTGTGAAGCAGCAATGAACTTACTCAACTTTAAGTTTATCTTTCAAGCACAGTTAACCATTTGATTGATTCATTTTCAAAGAATAAATTTTAAGGTGCAATTGAATTCACCAACAAAGGCAATCTAATGCAATATTCAGAATTCTTTTAAGAACACTGTTTTTCCATCTTTAAATTTTTGAAAAATTTAGCACTGAATTCATGAAAATTCTTCGTATCTAATTTTACAAGTTGAATCGCAACAAAGTTAATTAGCTATTTTCAAATTTAGAGCTTCTAAATGAGCTCCATTTTAGACTCCACATTTTTTTACTGACGGTGTCAGCCGTTTTTTGTAACAGAGCAAGGACAAATAACAATAATATAAACTGGTTCGATTTTTCAATAGAACAAAACTTGGGTGCATAAAATTTTCAAGGTAATCAAGGTTAGAATTCGAACTGCGTCACTTGAAGTTCATAATTGAAAATTCTTCAAAAACAGCATTTGCCAGGTTTTAGGATTTTATCGTGTGCACTGGAAAAATATTACAAAACGTCTAAAAATGGAGCATATATTTCATGTAGTTTGTGACACCTTCAGACAATCAAAGAAGACAATGAACGGTTAATGCTACAGACCTCAGACTTGAAGTATCAGCACCAAAAGGCTGCATAACCACAAAGGTGCAGGCAAATTAAGAGCAATCTGTTATTTTGTCTCTAATTGACATTTGAACTATAATTTACATTTGTAGAACATTTCCTTCGAGAAAATTTTTTTTGAGATCGTTCAGTGTTTGCTTGCTGTTCATAACTCATGCTGGCCAAAGAATGTTGCTTTTTATGACGCTCACTTAATCAATTGACTTAAAGGTTTAGTTTCAAAATCCTCATCCTAAATCTTTCCAATGCTGTGAGAGTGTAATTTATAACGAGCATCATTTAATTTGAAAAATTTTGTGCTCTCAGAAAATACTCTGCAAAAGTTAGTTAGAGGTCAATACCGGATCGACCTTGAATGACCTTGAAATTTAGAAAGCAGCAGGACGCAATAGCATAGTTTCCAAGTCTAAAGTCTGTAGCATAAACCGTTCACGAGTTATGACTGCAATTGGGTGAAAAGGATAAAGACGCATAGCATTCAATCGTTGAAAAGTTTTCAATGCACGGTGTGTACAAACATTTTGTATGGAGTGATACCTTTTAGCTCTCAAACTACTAAGATTACAGAATAAGGTTGGTTTAAATGTAAATCGAATTGATCTGTCTTGCAAAAAGAGAGAATGTGAATTTTGTCAAATGTTTAAAAAAATTATCCATCCAATGAATTAGTTAATAGTATCAATGGACTAATTTTCTATTTCCCTTTCTATGTCGCTAACCGGAAGCAACTAGAGGGCATTAACACCTCATCCTACCTGTTAAAAAATCTATTTCAACAGGCTGGAATCGAGCTTACAAATCGAATTATTTCTGCTCATGGATTAAGAGCTATTAGTGCAACAGAGTTAACGCAATCTGGGTTTGAAATACCAACAATTAGAAAAAGAACTGGTCATCGAAGTAATGCCATTGAATCATATTTGAAGAACGATAAGACGATTTGAGAAGTGATTTGGCGACATAAAAATGTCTTGATCCTCCGAATCAGAAATCAAGCAATGGTTACAGACAAAGATTAAACCAACTGAGAATCTAACTTGTCTGTTATACCTGGCATTTTTCTTTTAATTGAACGCCTTTATACAGGTGTATCACTTAGTGCTACAGACCTCAGATTTGAACCATGAACTACCGCAGATTGCTCATCCAGTTTGCACGATAAAGGTCACTCAAGGTCTCTTCGTTATTTGACCTTTAACTGACCTTTAGAGACCATTCAATGAGAATTTACTGAAAACTTTAACAAGTTTGAAAAGTGTGTATTTGTATTTTTTGTAATTGTTCCTTTTAACGTTAAGTGCATCATAAATCAAATGTTTGATAGCTTTATCTTTTGTCATGATATTCATTTATGATGTAAATAGCCTCTCTTTAAGCTTAAAATTCTGCATTTTTGTTCACCCCGTTCAAAGCCTGAATTCTGATTAAGCTATGATTTAATGTCTTGTACTTCAATCACTAAAAGTTTTCCCGCAAAATTGGAAGGCTTGAGAAAAGTTATTTTAAAAAAATCGACGCACTCTTGCCCTGCAACAGTTGACTGGCGCATTATCCCATTGAATGTATGCAACAATACAAACAACATGGAAATAAATTTTGTTGACTGAAAGAGTTGATTGATTTTTCCTTGCAACTTATTTTTTCCATGCAAAGGTTCAACTAACCAGAACAGTACAATGAGAGTGCATAAAGAATTGAAATTGCTGCAAGAGTAGAAGGAAAATTATCATTCTTAAATCGTTGTTAACATCAACATTCATTGGCTTTTTTTCGCTTCTCTCCCTCCATCCATGCAAAGGTTAATAAACATTCCATGAATTATTAATTAACAGTAATTCAATCAATATGTTAATAACACAACAAGCTGTAAACAGAGTAAAAAGGAAAAGTGGAAAAGCAAAGAAAAGCTGTTAATACATAATGTACACAATGGATCACAACGTAAACACATTTACTTCATTTATATTGATAATAATATCACAGAGTAATAATAATATTATAATTAGTATCATCATCATTCTTATTAGCAACATTAACATGAAGCTCATTGTTTCCACCTTGAGCTTTATTAGTTCTGTCAGTGTAATCAATAACATTTTATGCTCTTTACCTTTGCGGCACACTTTAATCATCTTCATCATCGTCTTTAGTTTCATTAAATTCATCAAAACATTTATTTATTACAATTGCCATGAAAGGGAAATTGATGTTGAAGATAATGAAAGACAAGTTTTAATAAACTTATCATTAAAAGTTATTCACTTTTGGGTTACACAAAAGCGAACAAATCAATTCATCAATTTTGCGAATACAACATTTTCCATTGCTTGTTTCATCTCTTTACGCATCAAATCTAATTTTACTCTTTCGATGCAACTCCAAGATACAAGTTGAACCTCAAAATGAATAATGTGTTTATTGATATTACACTTTTATCAAGTTCATCAATCGAACCTCAACTGTTTCCAATGCAGCCTACAACTTTTTTTTCACTCCCAGTGACTTTTCGTTGCATTCCTTTTTCCCTTCACTCTTTACGAACCTTTTCTTTATCTCTCATTTTTCTTTCTCTTCTTATTAAACTGTGTATTTAACCCTTGGTTAAGCCAATATCATTATTATTATCTCACTACATGAACATATTAAACATACAGAGATGATAAACAGATGATAGTGAAAATATAATGGAATCGATAAATTGATCATCTTCATTAATCAACCCACAAATCAATTTTAACATTGGTTGACAGAAGAAGTTATATTTTCAAAGATAAATGCAATGTTTCTGCATTGAGAAATGTAATAACATGGAGAAGGGAAAAAAGTACAAAAATAATGGATGTTATCAGAAAATTTGCTATTCTAGTTTTTTCATGATTCATCACATGGTCGACTCTGCCCAGTTTGGATAAATCAATTTTTTGTCTTTTAATTTTTCTTCGATATTTGGTTTACTCAGATCAGCATCTCAGCACTTGCTGGATGTCAGCTGATTTAGCAATTTGAACCTCGCCAGAAACGCTTCCTTTTAGTGAACTTCAGAGGCTTCTGAACATTATTCAAAGTCACTTTCATTTGCTTAGTAAATTTTCATCTTTTATTGCAAGGAAAAAAGACTAACTAGTAAATGAAAAACTTGAATGTAAATTAACTTTATTGTGCGTGAATCAGGGAAAGAGAAATGCAATTTATTTTCCCTTAAATTAAGAACAATTTGTTGAATGGACAAAAAAGTCATGTCCAGTCAAGTGTTCAATGTATTTCAAAGCTTTTCCCATTTGACCATTAACAATGTAAAGTTGCAACACGCAATTATCTTTACCATTAGTGTTACCTCATTTTTGAGGTGTAATTTATCTTTCAACTTCTTCATCGACTTTTGACTTCAATTTTTTCACTTTTATCACTTTAGTCGAGCAACAACAAAAAACTCGAGACTCTTAACAATGTCAATAATGAATCGATTTAAAGTTTTACTCTATTTAAACCATTAACTCTTAACAAAGCCAAGTTTAACTTTTCTTGATAATAAAGTGAAACCTTTAAAAAAGTTCATAAGTTTTTCTCTCAATTTAAACCACAAACGTCTCAATTTGGACAGTTGAACTCGACTCGACTGCAAGTCTTGAAACATTGTTGATGCACTAAATATTGGTCTTAAATTGAACCTTTAATAATGTGACAAGTTGGTCGGGTTGAAACAGCTTGAGAATAAACAATTTGTTCATTTGCAGATTAACTTAGCAACTAGTTGAACTTTTCATAGTTTATTAAACTTGAGAGAGCAATTTAATTGAAACATTTTTCTTTCCATTCAACCTTATTCAATCTAGTTCATCATTCTAGTGTCATTGAATCATCCTTTTCCGGAGCAATTCATCATTCTGTTCAGCAAGAAAAAAAAGGTTCATCTTTTGCATGTTAACTTGAACCTGTGAGAATAGAGAGAGAGCATAAAGAAAGGTAAAGAGTTTACAACAAAATTACATTTTCAGAACATTCATTAATAACACTGAATCAATGAGAAAAAAAGCAACAACTAAACTGAAACGATTAACCCTCTAATTATCAAGATGAGGAGTTGCTTTAAGCACATCAATGCAACACTTGGAAAAGGAATGAAAATAATTTTTTTACCAAACGAACAAAAAATCAACTGAAGCGGTACTTTGACTAACAACTGATGAAGTGAATCTGCTCATGAAACGAATCAATTTAAATTGTAAATCTGGAAACTCGAATTTCAACAATTTTTCCCTTTTCTTTTCAGGTAATTAAAAGGAATGGAAATAATGTCAATCATGAGGAAAACTCGATGAAACACACTTGAACAATTATCAAACCACTAAAGTCTCGATTGATAAGGTAAGTCAAGAGAAATGAAAGATTTTCTGTTTAGGAAAAAGTTGATTTTGAGATTCAATTTTCTTATTCGCCAAATTAATCTAATGAAATTCATTTCCATTTTGATAAAAATTCATTTCCCAGTCGAGATTTTTTACTCTTTCATCCGATAAAAGAATAACAGCGTTGAAAGAACAAGAATTTTGTAATTTCAACATTTCTTGGATAATATACTCTTTGTTTTGTGCTTCAGGGTTGATGATGATTTTGTGTCAACTTTAATAATTCAAATGGATACAGTAAAACTAAAGTCGAAAGAGTTGAAGAAAATGTTCCAAATATTAAGATATTGGATGGAAAAAGAAAAGAACAAAATCAGATGAGAATAATAATCTAATGAAAGAAGAGAGTAAAGTATTGTCGATATAATTGAAATAAAAGATGACAATAGATTACTCGATATTGATGAGATAATAAAAGAAAGAATTTGAAGAAAGGAAAAGAAACAAGTGTATATTCGAATACACGAAAATATCGAAAAAGAAAAAACATTTTGTTCTCTATTTTCACTTTGGTTCAGAGGTGAGTTGGATCATGAAAGATAGTCAATTGACTTGAAATTTTGGACTCGAGATCTGTCAAGATGGAAGAATGAGAAATGTTTTTTGCTGTTTTGACCATTCAATGTCTTCGTATTTACATTATCCTTTGCTCTTGTATTCACATTTTTATCCTACTTATTGTTATCAGCCAATTAATCCAATTACATAATCTTTTTTTTCAACAAATTCTGAGCCTTTATTCATGAGAATCTCGTTTCTTTCTTTGTTTATCCTTTCTTCAAACAACTTTGATTCTACATTTTTTTATTGAGATGAGTTATGCTTTTTTATGCTCTAAGATCAAGTTATTGGTTCACATTTGAAAAGGTTTCAGTTGGAAAGGAAAAGTAAAAAATATTTTTATTGCAAATTATCTGACTTTTTGCTTCTGTTACAATGAATCCACTATAATGGCCATTCACACACTTTATTCCGATTCCAATGCCATCCAAATTCATGGCGATAATTTCAGAAACAGGAAAAGGTTGCAAGAAAGGGAAGAAGAAGAAAAAAGAAATTCAACATTAAAATGTCAACACACAAATGGTGACAATAAAAGGCCATAAAAACACTTGCAATGGACAAAATTTTATCCTCGAAGTTATTCTTTTTTGTATGTAAAAAGAAAATTGGTGAAAATAAATGACCTACAAAATGGTCAGTCATTGCTTCCCATTATCACTAGGAAAATCATAAAAAATATGGAGATTTCAAGATTTTGAGAATGAAAAATATTTCAACTTTACCGAAGTTCACATCCACTAAATAATAGTTGGTTCAATGGAATGAAATCGCCAGGAAATAATACGAACTCTTTTATTGTCAATACATTGATATGTAATTAGTTACATGAAACCATGGAATGGGACTCATCATTGGGATTGATAAAACTTATAAGTTTTGCCTTCTCACTCCAAGTTGATTTCTGAAGGGATTGAAGCTATGAAACTTGCAAAGTTTTAAGTAAACAGTGAACTAGATTCGAGATCAGCAATTTTATCCAATTAAGTATTGTAAACGCTTGTCTTATTATGGATAGTTTTATACGTTTTAGTTGTATTATGTATGGGTTATTGACCAAGAAAAAAATTTATTTTCTTTTATAGCAAAACTAATCTCAAGCATGTAATTCATCAAAAACACAAAAAAGCTGACAAATTGTTGACTCTATTTTTTTATCGCAAAAAATCGATTTGACACAAAATTATTCAAAAACTTTTCGTTTGCAGTCCAATCTGATTGTTTCGAAACAAAGATTTTCCGACTAAATCGAAATTCTCGAATTCTGACAAAATGGGCGACAGCGAAGTCGAAGTAGAGTCGTATGGCAAATTTACGTTTTTCAAGTTTTTCATCGAAATCCGCTATTTCAAATATTTAGATTAGGATGAATTTTTTGTTCCGAACGAGCCAAAGAGGGTTTTCACAAAAGTCACAACTATAAACTGTTTAAAGACAAGAATAGTCGAGAATGTAAATAGACTTGAAAGAAGATTCATTGTTGAAATGATTTCAACTAAATGAAAAGTCTTTACCATTAAAGAGGACAGCAAAAAATGCATGAAAATGCATTGAACCAAGTTTTTTGTTTTCACAGAAAAAAATGAAAAATGGAACGGCAAAAGTTTAAGATTTTGAAGGCGAAAGCATTTTTTGCCTGAAATGTTTGCATTGAAAAGACTGCTCAAGAGTCTGAAAAAAATGTTGCAACCAAAATGATTTCTTTTCATTCCATCATCAACTCATTTCATTTCCATTAATCATCTTTTCATGGAAACGAGCGAAAAAAAGTTTCTATTAAGATTAGGAAAATGTCGACAGACAACATTACGATTCGAGTCTGAAAAGGAGAGGAAAATGGTTTCGTTTTTTTTCTCTCCACTATTCAACTTTCCATTTTACTTGGCAAATTGTTTTCTCGTTAAGATGGTTCAAACTAATTGAAGTTTCACTTTGACTAATTAAAAGTTATTTGATCATGATATTGAAAGTGAACTGGGAATGATGCAAAAACAGGGAGACGACGAAAAAAAAGTCAACTTATAGTGTAATCTCTATAAGCTGTTGACATGTTGAGTGATTAAGATCTTGCAAGTTGAACATTAATTAGATTAAAAATAATACTCGACGGATAAGCTGTTGAACCAATTGTAACTGTTATTGTTTCACTTGGTGCATTAACAAGCAATTTAACAGCGACTTTGATTTTTTCTGTTTACTCTGATGCTGGAGCGAGCGTTTATTACTTGAATTTTGATTCATTACCTTTAGTTGATACAATTTTCATCGAGATTTGAAAAGAATAAAAATTAGAGAAAAAATGATTCAATGGCGTTTCATGAGGTTTCCAATGTTCTGATATTAGCACAGAAAGAGGAAGAAAAAATTGAGTTTACTCTTAAATGCCAGGGAATGAGGGTGGAAAGGAAAATGATGAGAATGAGAATTAGACTGATGAAGATGAGTTGAGGATTGGAGGCACAAAACGGAAACCATGGGCTGTTAAAGTTGAGACATTGACAAATTCAAGTGAATCAATCAGGGAAAGAGAAAAGACTTCAATATTTTTCCTTTTCTTTTCACACCCAGAAAACGGAATGAAAAGTTTGCCTGATGTTTGATGAAAGGAAAAAGATGATAAATTCATGTCAATACTGTTGAGCTTAAATTGATTCAATTTCTTGCCACACTTTTATAATGAGAAAGTGTGAGAAGAGCAAAATTTTCCAAATGAAAATGGAAATGAATTTCCTTGTTTTGCCATTTCAAGTTTATATTCAATTTTTAGTTTCTGTGCATTCGATGTTTTTGCATTTCTGGTGTTGACGAATTTTTTCAACACAAATTGGTTGACTTTCAATTTCAATTGAAAAGAGTCGAGAGTTTGGATTTTGATTAATGATTCAGATTTTGTCAAGACAATGACAAAGTTAATGTTCAAAAGGCTGAAAGGAAAGCATAAATAATCGATTTTTTCAACGAAAGTTGAGATGTTTTTGTTGCTAATTTTCATCCGTTTGTGTTCAAGTGTTCACGATATATTGAGAAGATGAAAAGAAATCAAAATCGCAAGTTTCAAAGCGATGAGGATGGAGACAGACTGAGGAAGAGATGAAAGTGTAAAGATTTTGCTCTTTGCTGTAGATAATGCATGATGATGAGAAAAAGAAATTTTTTCCATTTTTTTTCTTCGTTGACTATTTACTCTTTTCTAAAACTCATTGCAACTTATCCATGTTTACTTCCTTCATCATCATTATTGCAACCATTTCTTATTTCACTCTCAACTTGTACACTTTTCTCATTCAGTTCATCATTTCTACTCAACTCATGAAGCTAACTGCGCTTTTTCACTCGAAATTGACAAGATTAAGAATGCTTAGAGGATAACGTCCAAAAAATAGAAAATAATTGTTCTAAAGCAATATTTCAACAAACCTTTCCAATAAGCGCACTGAGATTATATGGCAAAGAGTCTTATAATCCTTTTTAATAGTTCATTTGTTGCTTGCTTATTACAATCGAATGAATTAGTCGGCAAAGTTGAGCTTAATTGCTTAATGCAAATACAATTATGTCAATATTTGCAAATCAAATCAAAGAGATTCGTTTAATTGTGTTCTCAAAATAGTCCAGCAAATAACTGAAGTAGACATTTGTGAGATAATGATGGATAACTGATCATAATAAGTAATTTGAATCACGAAAATTCAAAAATTGCTTCGATTCTAAGCTTTAAAAAAATGAGTTTTCACAGGAAAACAAATTCGCATTAAAATGTGAAAATAAACTTCGGTGACTTTGGTTTGAGAATCGTTTTTGGAACAAAAGTCTCTCAAAGATTTTTGCAATTCCGTCGATATTTTGGAGAAATGCTTTCAAGCAAACGATGAAAGAAAATTGAATTGGTATGGAAGCTTGAAATTTCGAAGAAAACTATTCGTCATGGACGAAGGGTCAGAAATGTTGGAGTGAAAAATGTTTCTGATTTTCGCATTATCTTTTTGTCTGTCGAGTCTGAAATAACTGAACATCAGAAAACACAAGAACAAAAAGGAAAAGAATGAAAAGACGAAGAAAAAAAACAAAAGACAAACCAATGGTTTGACTATTAGCATGGAAAGAAAAGTCTGACAAAAAATAACCTGTCAACCTTTACTTTTTTTGTTGTTGATACAGAATACAGTTTTATCATTATTATTGCTTTCATTTTATTATTTCCTCAGATGATGATGATAATGATATTTTTCTGCTTCTTTTTTCTTGTTACTCAAATTCTTTTACTTTTCTGCAACTTTGATTTGATTTCTATTCTCATCCAAGAGTCCATTTCCATCATTTCCAGTCTCATGATTGGCAATCTTGCAAGATTATTCTCTTCTATTTCTCTCTCTCTTTTTCAGATGATTGCATGAAAAA